TTTTTTTTTTTTTTTTTTTTTTGTTTTAATAAATCTCTAGATTCTGAAACTCCTATGTTCGGCACAATACAATGCGGGTTATTAATTTTTCATTTCATTTTCTTCGTACGTGAATTTAACCGAAGACTTAAAATTTCAACTCGTCAATCCATAATATTTATAAAAAATTTTTAATTTCACATTGAAATCTCGCTAAGAAGAGATCTGCTAATCCAGAGCAGTATAATAAAATGAAACAACGAATTCATGGAAGAGAATTGTATTAATATTGTATTGATTATTTTATTTAAGATGAACAAGATGAGCAAGAATGTAAAAGTTACATTAATTCCAAAAAATTGAAAAACCTAATGACATTGGAAACGCCATTTTTACTGAGTGATTTAATTATATTTAAAGAACATATTGGAGTGCAAAGATCAAATGTATCTTCATTTATTAATAATATTTGCTAAGAAAAACTTTCGTGACGCGTATATTAAACCTGTTTCGTTCATGTTTCATAGATGAAAAGCAATGCGAACAAAAAAGAAATAAGAATTAAAATAATATTTTAGCTATGTATATTTTATTAGTTTGCGTGATTTATTTGATGCTCTTTCACCTAAGTGCCAGACAATTCTAATACAGTCGCGTTCGATATTACATGGCGTATTTATTTCGAAAGATCATCGATATATTTAACCCTCTACAACGTCTCTCGCGTAACTTGAAAATTACATATTTCCAAAGTTTTATTTTGTCTGTTTATTACTTCACTGTCGTATGTTAAAAAATACGAAATGTATTGTTATTCATAACAATTTTTAGTTCCTAGACTTTTAATTGGAGTAAACGACTGCAATTAATTAATAACATTTTTCTTCTAAGTAATTAAAATTCTGCTTATAGAGGGTTAATGCGACCACCGTGATTATTGATATTCGAATGACGAATGGTTTCAGTATTATGCAAGGCGGATGTTGGATCTAGATGGCGAAATATTTGCTTTTAATGTTTTTCCAGATGTGCAGTATACAGTGACGGATAAAAGAAGGTTTAACAGATAAATGGCAAGGAAATGTATCACGTTTCTAGGAAACAGAATTATATTTAAGAGCAATGAATAAATAGTCAAAATAGATTACTGTTATTAAAATGAAGAATATAATATTTAGTAGATTATGGATACTCTTATCATAAATTTTTTTTTCATTCGTCACTGTAGATTTACAATATTATTTTTTTCTCATAATGATAATAATCAATAATAATTAATATCAGTAATATAAATATATTTCATTATATTCATATTATTTTACAAATATCTCATTGTATTTATATTATTTATTGTTTAATATTTTATTATATTAACTCATAACTACATTTGTTTTCTGTCACATTTTCACTAAATTATGATGTGAAATCTCAGAGACTTCTCTAGATTAATGTTAATATTATAATTCTTTCTTTGTGTAATATAATTACAATAACATTAATAGTAATAATATAATTAATGTTACTGTACAATTACTAATTGAGTATATTTTTGTCATATATCTGAGAAGATACTTTTTACATTTTTTTATTCAGACTAAAGTTCACTTCACACAGTCCTAAGAATATGGCCTATTATTCAAAACAATTTTGAATGACATTTTCTAAATTATGAATTATATTTAATATATTTTAATATATATTTTATATGTACTATATCATTATATTTCATTTTACATACTATATATTACTATTTTATATTACTATAAAAAAAAAATATTATATTTAATAAAGTAGCAGTCTCCCAGATCTCACGACATCGGTTACGGGTTATATTATTTTTTTATATGTATTAATGTATACATTACATTTTCTAAATTATAATATTTATATATATATATTTTTTTTTTCATTGAATATAGTGTATATTAATATATTTTAATATTTATATTTTATATGTACTATATCATTATATTTCATTTTACATACTATATTACTATATTACTATAATTTCATTTTATTCGCTAGAGTTATTCAGTATTATTAATAATAATGGACTCAGCATCCGCCTAACGAAGATCAAACGATGCTTGGAACGCGATGCCTTTTTAATTCTCTTCGATGAATATTCGAATTATTTCTCTTTTTCGCAAAGACATTCCAGAATCGATGGTCGATGTGACGTATCCCAAAATAGAATAAAACTATCGATAATAAAATAATATAATAATAATAATTATAATAGGAATAAAACTATCGTACTCCAGCCTAAGAATGTGTTACGAAAAAAGAAAGAATAAAACAGAAAAAAAAAAAGAGATACATAAGGCAAAATTCACACGCATAGTTCGCACGTTGTATATGTTTGTATACTATGTTAATCTCCTATAATAGTGAGTGTTGTAACACATGTATATCTGTGAAAAAAAAAAAGATAAAACAAAACATGTAAAAGGAGATCAATAAATCAAAAATGACAAAATTATATTTCATTGGTGCCAAAGCAATACGTTTATACAGTGTCATTTTCATTCTGTCTGCCACTCTATTCCTAAATTACAAAAATATATAAAATAAATTGCCCAAAATACAAAAATATAGAAAATACTCGAACTTTCTGTAACATGTAATGTATAATACAATTTTCTATTTAAAAAATTCTAGTTTTTTAATTGTACTCTCAAGAATATAAATTTGCATGAAAAATCTACAAAAATAATTGATCGTAGTCTTTGTTTGACTTTTGTAATCGTGCAAAATTTTATTTTACAATTTAATGAGACAAGTTTTTATTCTCATACGATTAAGGAAAAAATTTACATTGACGCATATTAAATTTTTTACGTCAGAAGTCAGAATTTTTTCACAAATATCGATATTTTATACGCTTTTAACGTTTTTATAATGTTAATATTTTTACATATATTAAGATATGCTGAATAGTCTGGACGATTTTTGTTCTACGCAATTCTTTCTTATTATCATAATAATCGCGCTTCACATGTAATCACGAGAGTTTACATAGGCACATATGCAAATTTTAAATATTTAGAGGATAATAATTAAAAATAATAAAAATAAATAATAATTGAAAATAAATTAAAAATAATTAAAGGATAAGGATTTTAAGCATTTTAATAGTATGCAATTTATTCACGCGTTAAAGGTATAAGATTTGAAAAAGAATGGCGATAATTTTTTATATTCGTTTTATATTTCGTTTATTGGAAAATATAAATAAATAGGAACAAAAAAATCACGAAGTTTTTTTATGTAATTACTAAATTGTCCAAAATGTGTCGTTATTATTATTGTAATATAAATAATCAGAAACGTAAGAAACATGAATATTTTAGAAATTAATTGAACTAATTAAAAATGTTCAAAACCCTTTTTTTCTTGTCTTAAATGTTCGAAATTTGGCAATGAAAAGATAAAACAAACAACGTATTTGGGACAAACCTATTAGTTTATTATCTAGAACATTATTACGGTTGAAAGAAAGATGTTTCATATTTCATACGTGGTTACGATTTCTATTCACCACAAACTGTGATTACGATCACGATTTTGTGCTGTTTCTTAAGAAATTTTCAGAAAAAATCATAAAAGGGAAAATAAATTAAAAGATAGAAATATTTTCCAACAGTAAAGTAGCACTGTCTGCAACAGATAAGCAGATACTTAACCCCTAGTATATCACTAATACTAAAACAACTGACTTTTAATACATATCAAAATATTCTACATGTAAATTATTAAAATAATTAAGATTTGTACAATTTTGCTATTATTTTTTACAAAAATATCCATATCTTTTAATCAATTGCAGAAACAGAAAATCTGAGATCATATTGTTCTAGTATTCTAGTTAGTGTTGAAACACGGATTGAAATTATGTTTTTTCTTTTTTTTTTCTTTAGTTTCACAAAGTATAAAATTCTTATTTCTCATTTCTACAATTAGTTTTCAGTAAAAGAATAGTCTTGCTTTAAGTGCAATTCTTTCTTCCTTCTTCGCATGTATGTATATCTCTTTCGTATTGCTGCTAATAGAGTATAATATTGGACATTTATATCAATATGTACAATAACCTATGCATTATACACAGTATAACACAACACAATGTTATATTTTTATTTTCTCAAAGTATAAAAATTTATCAGACTAGGAATTTCATGCTTACTATTTTTACGCGTCTTTCTAACATGGACTTTCACTTTTTTACCAGTTAAACATATTGTACACTTGCAACACAAACGCATGCTTTCCGGGAGAACTAACCAGTTTTTGAATAAAATTAGAAATTATTTTGCTAATCAAAGAAACGACGCAATATAAAATAATATACTTTTCACTTTATGTTTGTAATGATACTCGGTATAAGATATACAAGACACATTTATAAGATATAGCATCATGTCATGCAAATCATGATGAACCAATCAAATTATAAAAACAAAAAAAAAATTGAGCAGCTGTTCTCCAATATTCTCATAGTTATGTAAACTGCGAATTTTTATGCATTTATGGAAAACTTGAATTTGCACATATAGTTATATATAGTGCAAGTATGTATGTATACTGGATTTTATCCTTTTAATTATATTCACAAAAACATGAAAATTTGCAAATATCCGCAGTCCACTTATA